GGAGGTGGAAGTGTCTGTGGGGGGGAGATCGGTGATGGTGGAACCGGCTCGAACCGCCCGGGAATGGGGGAGAAGGAGGGAATGAAGGAGGCGGAGGAGGGGGGGGTGTGTGTGGGGGGGCGGCAGGGCCAGAGCGCGCCGTACACAAAGCGGTGGCGGGAGGAGGAGGAGAAGAGCTGGAGGAGGAGGAGGAGGAGAAGAAGAAGGAGGAGGAGGAGGGAGGGCTCGGGGTGCCGAGGAGGGGCCGGGGAGGAGCCGCGGCCGCTCCCGCCGGGCTCCGGGCGGGCGCTGAGGGACGCGGAGGGATCCGCGCGCAGCCCTCACGGCCCGGGGGGCGCGGTGAAGCGGCCGCCCTCAGGAGAGGGGGGCGGCGTGATGCGGCCCTGCCGCCGCTCCCTCCGCGCTCCCCCTCCCGCCATACCGGGGCTCCCCTCACGGTCGCCCCCCGGTCGCCACCGCCGGGTTGAGGAGGGGCCGGTCGTGTCCTTCCTCTCCCCCTTCTCCCGCTGCTGCCGCCCCCTCCTCTCTTTGGCGGCGCTGCTTCGCTGGTGGGCGGCCATGTTGGGCACGGGGATTATTTTTCGTTCTCTTTCTTAGCCGTCACAATACGCTGAGGGTGTGTGTGTGTGTGTGGTGGGGGGGCTTTTCCCGGAGTTCTCGGGAGAAACGGCTTGTTCCCGGTTTTTGGGGGAGGTTAAGGAAAAGGGGAGGGTCTGGGATCAGCGGTTTGCAGGGTGAGACCACCCCCCCCTCATCATCCTTGGCCTGCTGGCGATTCACGTTCGCTGAGTGAGTGCCCCTCTCCGGCGCCGTGAGGGATTTGGGATTGGGATCCCCCCTCTTCCACAGGGATTTGGGGTTGGGATCCCCCCTCTCCCTCAGGGATTTGGGGTTGGGATCCCCCCTCTTCCACAGGGATTTGGGATCGGGATCCCAACCTTCCCCTGAGGGTCCTGGGATTGTCATCCCACCGCTCTCCCTCAGGGATTTGGGGCTGGGATCCCCCCTCTTCCTCAGGGATTTGGGGTTGGGATCTCACTCCTCTCCCTCAGGGATTTGGGATTGGGATCCTCTCAGGGATTTGGGATCGGGATCTCATCCCTCTCAGGGATCTGGGGTTGGGATCACAACCTTCTCCTGAGTGTCCTGGGATTGCCATCCCACCCCTCTTCCACAGGGATTTGGGGTCGGGATCCCCCCTCTTCCACAGGGATTTGGGTTTGAGGGATCTCACCCCTCTCCCTCAGGGATTTGGGATTGGGATCCCCCCTCTCCCTCAGGGATTTGATGTTGGGATCCCACCCTTCTCCTCAGGGATTTGGGATTGCCATCCCACACCCCTTCCTTAGGGATCTGGGGTTACCATCCCATCCCATCAGATTTGGGATTGGGATCCCAACCTTCTCCTGAGGGTCCTGGGGTTGCTATTCCACCCCTCAGGAACCTGGGATTGGGATCCCACCCCATTCCTCAGCAATCTGGGACTGGGATCCCTATTTCTCTGGGATCTGGGATTGGCATCCCAATCACCTCCTCAGGGATCTGGGATTGGGATCCAAATATTCTCCTCAGGAATCTGGGATCCCATCTCGCCTCTCTTCCCACTTTTCCCTGTCGCATCCCTGCGCTGTCACCCTCAAGAGCGGCTCCATCTCCTCATCCCACCCGGATCCAAGCAGGGAAAAATGGGAAAACTCCTCCTTTTCCCTCCTGGGAAAGGGTCAGGAGCGCAGGAATTCCCTCCCTCCCTCCCTCCCTCCAGCGGGATTTGGGATTCCATCCCAAAAATCCCCCGAGGCTGCTGCTGCTCTGAAAATTCAGTGTTTGGTGCCATCCCGAGGTTTCCTGGAATTCCCTCTGGATGGGATCCTGCTTCCCAAAAATCCGATTTTCTCGGGATCAACTCGAATTTCCTGCAATTGACTCGATTTTCTTGGGATTCACCCGATCCCAGCGTGGCCAGAGGATGGAAGGGATCCCACCAGGAAAATTCCCAAAAATGCTGGGGAAAAAAAATTAATAATCATAAAAAAATCAAAATAAAGCATTTGAAAGGCTTTTAATGCTTAATTAACAGAAATTAAATCTGATTAATTAATGAAAAGCTGCTTGGGATGAGGTTTTCCTGTTTTTTTTTTATGGATGGGAAGGTGACGTCCCAAAAGAAATTTGCTTTTTGCTTCCCAAATTCACTTCCAAATTCCCAGATTTTTTTCCCAATTCCTGGATGTTTTAGGGCCGTTAATGAAATAGAATTATTAGTTCTTATTAACATTTAATTGGGGCATTTTATCCACCTCAAAGTCAAAGGAAAACCAACCATTCCTGATTTGTTTGGGATCATTTTTCCAGTTTTCCCAAGGCCTGGAGGATGGAATTTTTTGGGAAGGGGCAGGAGAACATTCCAAGGTTCTGCCTGTGCCATGGCAGACGCCAAAATCCCATTTTTTTCCCCCCATTCCAGGAAAATTTTCCACAATTCCACCACTTCAGATGGAAGTAACGGAGAGAATTCCCAGGTTGGGAAGCTCTGGTTCATTTTTATTTTTATTCCTGCACAGATTTTCCTTTAAATCCCCAAATTCTTGGAATTCTCCTCCCAGTGTTTCCCAACCTTGGGAATTCTCTCTGATGCTTCTGCCTGGGTGAGGGAATGATGGAAAATTTTCCTGGAATGGGGGAAAAGAATTCTTTATTCTTTTTATTCTAATTATATTTGTAGTAATGTTTTTACTTATATTTTTATTACATTTTCATTATTATTAAATTTTCAATTTTGGTCCATATTTTTGTTTTTATTTTTCCTCATTTTTGTTCATGTTTTTTATTTTTATTTGTTTCCATTTGAAGTTTTAACTTTATTTTTTCATTTCATTTTTAGTCTTAATTTTAGTTTTATTTTTAATTTTAGTTTTACTTTAATTTTATTTTAACTCTTTTAATTTTATTTTAACTCAGTTTACCCTTTTTTAAATTTTTATTTCTATTTTTATCTTTAAAATTTTACTTAATTCTAATTTTAATTCAAAGCCTCCAAACCGAAGCTGCCACTGCTCTTTCCAAGCTGGGAATTTCAGGATAACCAAAAATAATTTGGAATTTTTGGAAATCTTAAATTTTTGGGAGTTTAAATTTTTAAAACCAGGAGATAACCTGGAATTCCTCAGTGGGGGAGAGGCAAAATATTCCAATTTTGAGTCAATCCCGGGGATTTTCATCCCAAATTCCACGGATTTCCTCGGAAGAAAAGGGACATTTTGAAGCAGAGAAATAACCTGGAATTCCTCCGTGAGTGAGGAGGGGAAAAAATTCCAATTTTGAGTCAAATCCAGGAATTTCCCCCAGATTTCCCTAAAGAAAACCAAAGAAATAACCTGAAAATTCCCATCTCCATTTGTTTTTTCTTGGAATTTCGGGATCTAAAACCAACCCAAACCCATTATTCCTATTCCTCCCCTTGGGGAAAAAAAAAAAAATCCCAGTGAGTTTTTTTAGTGCCAAATTCCCATTTTCCCCCTTTTTTTTTACCCCAGGATGGCGGACACGGATCTTTTCATGGAATGCGAGGAGGAGGAGCTGGAGCCATGGCAAAAAATCAGCGACGTCATCGAGGATTCCGTGGTGGAGGATTACAATTCCATGGAAAAAAATTCCACAGGTCTTTTCTCCCAATTTTCCCTGATTTTCCCCTTTTTTTTCCCACTCATTTTTCCCTGATTTTCCCCTTTTTTTCCCCACTCATTTTTCCCTAATTTTTCCCCTTTTCCCACTTAATTTTTCCCACTGATGTTTCCCCTTTCCCCAAGGGAAATCCCATGGAATTTCCCCCTTTTCCTACTTAATTTTCTCCTGATTTTTCCCTCTTTTCCTCACTGATTTTTCCCACGTTTCTTACTTAATTTTACCCCTTTTCCCCCCACTTATTTTCCCCCATTTTTCTCCATGTTCCCACTCAATTTTTCCCACTGACTTTTCCCCTTTCCCCACGGATTCTTTTCCCCCATTCTCCTGCTGATTTTCCCCCTTTTCCCACATAATTTCCCCCCTTTCCCCCCCCTAATTTTTCCCTGATTTTCCCCTTTTCCCACTCAATTTTTCCCATCGACTTTTCCCCCTTTTCCCACGTTTTTTCCCCCAACATTCCCCCAACTTTTCCCACGTTTTTTCTCCCACTTTCCACCCAACTTTTCCCCCTTTTCCATGGTTTTTTCTCCCAACTTTTCCCCCTTTTCCCACAATTTTTCCCCCACTTTCCCCCCAACGTTCCCCCAACTTTTCCCCCTTTTCCCACGTGATTTCCCCCCTTTCCCCCCAACTTTTCCCCATTTTCCATGGTTTTTTCTCCCAACTTTCCC